ATCCGACCCCGGTCAGCGTTCCTCATCGGAATAATTTCCCAAACTTTATTGTCAGAGATGTTTCTGTCAACATGTCCATCCACATTACAAGCGCCCGCAGCCTGACACGTCTTCCCACATGGGCTATCATGCCAGCAACTTCCGTTTGCCATCTTGTCATGGCAAGAATCCTCACCAGAGAGAGCCTCTACGGCGAAGGACCGTATCAAAGCTTTAGAGCCCGACAGGTCGATACCCATACGCCCTTGTACAGCCTCTCGAAGTGCGCGCAAAGATATGGGCCCAAATGCACCAAGCTGACGAACCTCCACGGTAACTTGATCCTTAAGGGCCTCCTCGAAGTCGTAGCCATCGTATACATTGGCAGGCGTGCCCCAGATTCCCAGCATTTGCCGGGCCATGTGCTGGTGGGCACTGGGGTCCCTGGCTATTGGTCCCCGCTGTTGGGGAATTCGATCCAGGACCCTGCATATATATATATAAATACGTGTGTATTATGTATGAAGAATTGTGATTTTGCACATAGGCTCCTCTACTACGATTGTGTACAACTACATTATATCCATGCTTCCATCTGCTTATGTATCTGCTTCTCTACAAAAGGTAACAATATCTGTACCAGTGTACATACGCCAATCAACAACGACACAATTAGAAGCCAATGCTTGGTTCAGTAGATCAACGTAGAAATGGCAAACAAGCTGTCAAGCAGCTATGGACGCCGATCTTCGGATTTACGTGCATACCTATCTACCCATCTATCTTTCTATCTAGCTAGCCACCTACCTGTCTGTGCCCATAACAAAATTATCTATCTAACAGTCTGTCCAGTACGCATGCATGTATCAGGGACACTGATTTTTGGCAACTTTCAAGTGGATCCCAGATCCACGGAAGCAAGCGATCGCTGCAAGGTGCCTCATACAGGAGCGAATCCTTTTAGACGTGCTGTCACGGCGAACTTCTGACGAGACCTGTTGTACAGGAGCCGACAACGTCTAAGTTCTAAGCCCAAGAATCCCAAGAACCCTCACGCCCAAAACCCGTACACGCCCCTGAACAGCTGAATCATGCTCAACAAGGGCACCTCATAAGGTGCAGCCCTACTGTTTAGGGCCGCTTCAGCAAGCACCAAGCGGGGGGGTTCAGAAAAGAGGGGTGCCGTGTTTGGAGGCCCTGAGGAGATCGATCAAATGGTTTAGGGCTACTAGGCTCCCACATTTTCTGAAACTCCCAGGTTCGTCCAGAAAAGGCGCTCCGCCCCTTTGGCCATCCAAAGAGAACCCTAGACCCGACCCCGAAACTAAATCCCTGCAAGATTCCAAGACCCTAAGCTCCTTAAGGGTCTGCAACATTGGGACCCCCCAAAGCCAAAAGAACACTCAACTGTTGAAACCCTGCGGCCCTTTGAAAAAAAGGGCTCAGAAAGGCGACCAGGACAAGGATCTCAGGCTGATGAAAGAGCTCACCTCGAGAGGTCGTGGGTACAGATGCCACAAGGGTTACGATGAGGGTGATGTAAAGGCTGCAGGTGCTGCAAGTGCAATGAAGGTTACTTTTAGCGGGCTTTGCAGCTTAGCGCTTTAGTTTTGGGGATCAGGGTTGGAGAACAAGCTGCTGTAAAAACCATATGCTCTTTCATGCTGCGGAAAGATATGTCTCCTTCCGTCCACGCTTCTCTCGCTTTAACATGATGATGGCTCTCGGCATGCCCTGTATAAGTCCTGTCCGATTGTATCATTGTCGTGAATGTATGGTCTGTTTAACTGTTCGGATCCTAGACGAAAGGCTCAAACAAACTCCCTCTCTGTGCACGCCGACCTCTTCCACTTCATCCCGGTAGTCAGGTCGCTCAGTCTCATCCCAGTTGTCCTTGGTTTGGAGCTTCCAAACACTTGAAGATTGGACCCATCACATTCCGCTAAATATGTCTTCAACCGGATCTCCGATGCAAGTGTTCCATGCTAAGACTGTGAATGTCTGTGTTTCAACCTTGCTATCACCAGGACCAGCTTCCGTCCAACCTGGTAGAAGCTGAGACGAGATCTCTGCGAGAGTTGGCACCGATTCCTGACCATTCCGGGCATCACAGTGTCGCTGTAGGTCCTTTGTCCAACGGACGGCCTTCCCTGATACGGTGGAAGAGAGGTAGTTGGTGGCCCAAGAAGGGATAAGGCCACCCATGTCGATCTGGCTGCAGCTGGTCAGTTCCGTACCGGTGAATGAGGGGCTGTTCGCAATGTGAAGGGAATGCTCACTCTCCGTCTCGGTCTCACTCTCCTGAGGCGAAGGTCTCAGCAGAGCTCCAGCCTTGTGTACGAATGCCCGAACACGGTCTGGATCTTTGGGCACCGCTGCATCTTCCATCGATCGGGAAACGAGAGCGCAGCCGGTTCCATGGGGAGAGTTCAGTGGCAGCCTCCATTGGCGCTTCAGGATCTCACGATCCCAGAAGGGCCGAGGACATGTGATGATGCTTTGGTAGATCTCTTCCATCATCTCATCCTCAGGCTGAGCGTTCTGCAGAAGCGTGTTCTCACCACCGGCATCCCACTGTGCCCGCTCCTGGCACAAAGAGGCCGTCACGTCCTCAACAGAGGCACCCTTCAAGCGAGTCCACAAGCAAGCGATGATCACTGGAGACTCCGCATCGTGGCAAATGCAGAATCTCATATCCGGCTCATCAACCAAAACCTTGATAGACATCGTTTCATCATCTGAGCCTTTGGTACCGGAATCCGTTAAGTCCGCGTTCGAAAGGCTCTTATCGCCTGATGCAAAGGCAGCAGAGGAGAGTGGGCAACACATTCGCTCAATTCGCAGTAGGGATCTCAGAAGCTCTGCCGGTGAGCTTCCTTCCTCCGGTAAGCTGGGTTTGAGCTCCGGCTCTGCAGGAGCGGACCACAAGTATCCGCCCATGGCTCGCAAAACCGGAGATAGGAGAGATTGACGAAATCTGACCTTTTTCTGCACTGACACCCTGAACGGTCCGATGCTGCCTCATTTAGCTTCCTAACCGAGGACCGATGGAGGCTCGGACGTGCGTCTCTTGTTGTGCATCTGTGTCCGATGAATCTTGTGAACACATTCTCGCGTGGCAAGAAGCAGGCAGCACATGTGGTTGACACAGCTTGCCCTTGTCAGGCAGTACTGTGTACACCTTCCAGGATGGGAGCTACCAACAGAATCATGATGAAAGAAACACTGCCGTGGCCTTCGACTGAAACGACGGCATCGGCCTCACAGAAGGCTAGGAAACCCAGGCCCTCTCTTGTCTTCTGTTGAGGCACCGCGCAGTTTGACTCCCAAATCATCCTTGATCCCCGAAGCCATAGAGAAGAGTTCCAAAGCTGCAAAAACGCTGAAACCTCGGCGCGACCGAAAATCCTTCTCGAGCTCCGGGCCCAAAAGAGGCGAACGGCTGCATCCGCCGGCCTCGGAGGACGTGTCGCTTCTTACCGCTGCAACCCGAGGACCCTAGTGAATAGACCAGTCATTCTACACACGGTCCTTCGGGGGAGCCTTTTGGGAAGCGTAACTGCTTATTATTCAGTCCTGAAAGCCTGACAGGCTTCAGAGGGGAGGCTCTTGAGGCGACAAATTCCCCTAAGAGTCCCTGTGCGTAACTGTACTACAAGCTCCAAACCCTGTCAAAAGTAAGACTGTCCGGAAGAAGGAGTTCTAATTCAATACGTCTCCTAGACGAATAATTGCCTTCTTGATGCCTGACTCAAGCAGGAAGCCTTCGCTTTGGGGGACACCTGCCGCTGCTGATCTACTACAACTGCAAATGCTACACATTTGTAGGCAGTACTGAATTTTTGTATTATCGTGAAGCTTTCCTTATTAGCAAAGTTCCCTTGTTCTTCTTATTTGTGCGGTGATGTGATCCTCTTCAGGTCCACCACATCCGGGGAGCCCACGCCACGGCCAAGCACTTGGCCATCTCGTCCAAACGTCCCCGAAATGTTGCCTTCGCACCGGTCGATGTGATGTTTATGAGCTATCAAGTAAGACTACGATAAGATACGACAAGATTCTACGGTGATATAGGATAATAAAATCAATGTGTATACATATATATATATATATATCTATACATATCTATCTATCTATCTATCTATCTGTCTATCTATCTATATATGTATAAGTATATGTGTATGTATATGTATATGTATATATACACATGTATATGTTTTTATATATATCTATGTATATATATATGTACACATGTATATATATATATATGTGTGTGTATATACTGTAGCATGCCATGAAATACTACTGCCGGGCCTCCAAAGCCACTTGGGGACCATCCGACCTCATTTCTTTGTGGGCTTAGAGAGGTTGAGAAGAGAGGCACCACAAGAACTGCGCCGGGCTCGCAGCGCGTAGAGGCAGTAAGCTGTGTTCATCACCCAGATCTCCTGCCAGGTTTGCTGCATCTCGGTACACCTTCGTGCAACCCCCGAGCCTGATGCGTGAACTGCTTTCGCCATGTCATGGGCAGGAACCGAAGCTGCTCACACGTGCTGCAGGCTTCCATACCAGCCTTCGGTTCTAGCGCTTCAATCAGCTGTGACGACTTGGAGCGTGCATCGCTAATACTTGCGTAGTTGAGCACCCACGGGCTGCGAGAGTCGCATTCAGCTGTAAACCCAACGGCGGAGTGCCGTGCATCCAAACAGAGCAGCCGCATAATATCAACCCTCGCCACCTGCAAAATCTCTTCACCCTCGAATAGCGATGCCTCGATTTTGCAAAAGACAGACTGTTGGAATCTAGTGATCTAGTGCCGAACATCAAGATTCGAGTCTCCTCGGTAGACTCGTAGACAAGGGTACCTCACACTTCCCCGCTTCTTGTGAAGGACGGGCACACCAGAATGAACCTTTAGTTCCAGGACGTCCCCTGAAGGCTGCCTCCATACGCGTATTTTTGCCTTGCTGAGCCGCACAGAGCCGGACCTCGCCACCTTGGCAACTCAACACTTGTCGCGCTCTGGAGCTGGCTCGCCACAATCCGCCAATCTCCTCTGACAACCGGAGCGCCGAGCTCCAACCCTTGCTACGAGTAGCAAAGTCTGAGTTTTGCCAAGGAAAAACATGCAGACCAGAAATCCCAGTTCCAGGCACCCCACGGAGCAGGAGCTTGGGGACCACCACCGTGGGCCGCGCGAGGTGCGGGCAAAGGTGGGGAAAGAGCAGCAACCGCCCTCTGCGAGGCTCGACGGCAGCAAGAACGGCCTCGGCGTTGTCCTGACAAGAATCTTTGGATATTTTCTTACTGGGACAACTTTGATGCGTCAAGTCCCCATGTTCGTCCTCCATGCGATGGAGGAGAACCGTCTCGCCGCCACCACCAGAGCAGTCGCTTAAGTAGAGGATGAAGGTGTGAGTGGATCGTCTTCCCTTCTCGTCAGTTCTCACGAGATCGAGGTGCGGCGGCAGACCACCTCCGACATCTGCATAGTGCAGGAAGCGCATATGAGGCATTGTAACCTCCAGCGCAAGATCCGCAAGCGCTCGGTGCTTCTCTTGGGCGGCAAGGAAAGCACGCCTAAACGCTTCCTGTATCCATCCTTCCGAGTCGCCTGGGGAAGCAGCAGACATGTTTATGAACGTCATGTCTTGAAGATATCCTTTCGCTCACATCGTCTGCCAGCAAGCGGCAGTAGTAGCTACGATCGGAGGAGCAGCTTTTCGTTCGGGCCGCCACAGGCAAGCCTCGGCTGGTGCTTAACCTTCGAGTCTCTGAGTTACAGACACCTGAACCTCCAACATCTACACTGCACGATCCAGCACAATCCATAAACCCCAATCCTGACCTAACCTTACGATTAAAGTCTCGAAGCTTTCGAAAAGGTGGTCCACCTGACATAGGAAGTTCTCAGCCAAGGCATCGTCCAGGATGCAACTTCCGGCCCCGGCCGCGTCCTCGCAAAGCTTGACGACGGAAGTTGAAAGCGGATTTAGGGCTCAGGGTGTCGAAATTAAATAACCATGATCATGCATTGAACTGGCTGACATGCCGTGTGGCAATGGCATGTGGTTCAATTGACGAGTTCAGAAATTCTTGGATTCGATTCATTTGGCGTTAGCTTCGGAGGCTTCTGGTCTGCATTTTCGCGGCTTCGGTTGGAGGGATCTCGCTTTTCTTGCACTAACGGGGCCCGGGTTCCCGGCTAAAACACACAACCAGTTTGAACAGTGAAGGTAGCAAGCACAACAACAGAAAACACCAATGCCTTCCCGGCATTCCCTCGGTGTCCGAGTCGAGTGGGATCAGCCAGTGGAAGGACGGGTCCGGCTCTGAGCCAACAAAGGCAGAGCGTTGCACAGGGACCGTCCTTGCGCCGGCCTGCAGGGGGTTCCGGGAATCTTCGGAAGCTTGGGCTTTCAATGCTCGGACCTCCACCAGGGCACGTGCAGCACCTGTTCGGGACCATCGTCAAACGACCTACCCGCAGAATAGAGAGCAACGATGTCGTGGCCTTCATGTCCAATGGCAGCAGCACAGGCCCATGCAGAAGAGCCTCCATTCGCAGGACGGTCCTTGCGCAAGGATACCAAATAACCAAATGTTCTAGGTCAACCGGAACCGCACGCAGCGATCATCAAGCCAAGCTGTGGCATCTGCAAGGTCTGCTCTGGCCCATGCAAGCAGCGAGATTGCCTGTCCGGCGAGCTCAGTGACAGTGAACACTTGTATAGCTGCTTCATGCAAGACCCCGGGTGTCTTGTTGGAAGACTTTCTGCGGTCAGTTTCACAAAACCGTCGCCTCGGCCGCATCGTGATAAGCTGCTAGGAAGGCTGGCGACTGGCCGTACCTCAACATTCCCGTAAACTCGTGCACGTGCCGCTGGGGCGGTGTAGAGCCGAGGAGAGGGCTCGTTCGCAGCGTCGACGTCTACTCCGGCCTTGGAGCAGTGCACCGGCAACGACTCGGAACTCCGAGTTTTCTGTGGGCCTCAAAGAGGGCGAGCAAGCGAAGCGTGTCCCCTGCTGCAGCTGCCTGCATTCAGTGGCTACTGTACCACCAGGCTGAGACTAGTGACTAGCCCATGGTCTGCACTCGGTGGTATGTTCTCCCTGCTTTCCCCGCGGTGGCCGTAGCAGGCGTCGGGCCTTGTGCAGTTCTGCGGTGCGCTCCTCGACTGGACGCCCAAACTCTTGCCGTCTGCAAAGGACATTCTCCAGTCTCCGGATGTCTCCGGCTCCTGCCGCGTAGCGCCCAGGTGCGCTGAGGCCGCCTCGCGCGGATGCTGCGCCTGGAACCTGCGCTCGGAGGAGAGCGCGCTCTTGCGCGACCCAGTTTCGATTCAGGCGAAAGCAATCACTGCCAGAGATGGCTGCCTCCAAGGAAAGCCCAAAGCTTTGCTGTCCAAACTTCCAACCCTCAGCCTTCAGACCCAAACCTCCTAAAAACCCTTCCCAGAGACTCTTGGAGCTCAAAGCATCGGAGTACACTTCGTGGCCTCGGAGCTTTCGAGACCTTGGGAGCCACCTCCGGGGCCTTCCAGAGAAAAGTTCTCACCGGTTTTTTTGGGTGTTTTCACAAAGGTCTCTTTAGGAACTCAAAGACTCACTAAGGCTTGGGGCTTAGGGGTTTAGGGTTTAGGGTTTCAGGGCTTGATTTGGGCTAAACTGGGTTTCGAAGGCTTTGTGGCGCCACAGGATGATACCCTCACGGCCCAGGGGCCTCACCTGTCATCTCTGCCCGACTCTGCCCTCTTCGGCCCAGGGGCCTCAACCTCTGGCAGTGTCAGGAACTGCTCCAGCATGGCCTTCACTGGGCACATGACGCATCGGTACTGCTTGGTCTCCCCGTCTTTCTTCTGCTTTGTGCCATTCGGAATTTGCTTGGCGGTACATGTGATGATCCGTCGGAGACGACCAGCTCTTCTGTCTCCGCTTTCCGAGACTCCCAGGCCAGACTTTCTTAAGGTCCTGCTCTTTGCCGTGTTAGGCCTCTCTTCTGCGTTCAACGCCCTGCGTGTTTTGCAGCGATGCCACTCAAAACTGTTGTGGGCTTTGTCGCAAGTGACACTGCGGGGAAACAAAGTGTTCCCGGATTCCTGATCGACTGAACAACGGTGAAGGCCGAGAGGTGTTGGGAAGCCAGACCGATTAGAATGCCAACATGACATCCATGCCCAAGAAAGTTAATACACATAAACATCCGTGGTCACACAAAAAACAATCGAAAAGGGCCGTTCTCAAGTGCTTTGCAACATGCAGCTCGACACCAAACAACCAGTCCCATTCTTGCCTGCATTGCTTTTTCGGGTCCTGTTGCTATGGGGTGCATATGAGTTGGTGAACCCTCATCAGGGACAGGTGCATGTAGCAGAGTTTGGGTTGTCATACTGATAATTAAGAATGAGCTCCTTCCAGCTTTTCGCACGTTGGCCACCGAATTTGTGTGTCCGTGCATCCTTCGAACACAAGCAAGCCAGCATGCCGACGGAATGAAACAACCCGCCCCGAGCAATCCTGCAGCGCGGCCTCCGACAAATAAGCCGATCCATGTCAGCAACATCAAACAAACAAGACGAGATGCACAACAACAGTCACCCAGCGAACAAAGATGCCAGCTAACCAAACGCACCAATGCGAGCCCGTGCACACTTGTGATGCGGTTCCGGCCTCACGTCTTGTGGAGGGGGGCCAGGCTTCCCAACGCTTCATTAACGTCTGTTCCTGGACAGGCATGATGCACGGACATCTCTTGTCTCAGTGGAGGGCAACGATGCTGGTGGCGGAGACGGCGTCGCTCCGGTCAATGATGTAGATGATGATTGTGCTAATGACTAATGCTGCCCGATCATGAAGACGCTGCGCAGCTTCATCATACTGGAAATGGGATATTTAACGGGTGCAGATGACGACCATGACGGTCATGACATGTCACCCGCGCAAAACTTGCAAACTGAGATGGTGAAAGTGTTCTTGGCTTAGATGGCAATACGGCAAGACCGACGGCAGTGACGAGGCAGAGGTCCTTTCTAATCCTGGTAGTGAAGGCGGCACGTAATCAGCTTACGAAACTTGACGCTTTCGCAAAGGGTGATATGGCCAGTTCTGAACGTTTAAGCGGTTGCGAAAGCCTTGGGCGAGACAGCCTCGTCCACGGCGCAGGATGAGCGCTCATCCGCTGCCGGAACATCCTTCGTCGCGACTAGGTGACGCAGCGTCAAGAAAGAAACTTGTGGCCCTCTGCCATCGGACTGGTGTTTGAGTGGAACAGGCACCGCACCAGTCATGATTAGCGAAAAGCCAGCATGCCTGAGAACCGATACACTGTTCCACGTGCGACACCCTGAGGCCTGGAACCTTGAGCCTTAAACCCTCTATGCAGTCCTCAACCCTGATGGCGCAAAGCGCTGAAGCTTCCATCACATACTGTCAGCTTCAGAGCTCAGCCGATGGCTCCAACTTCCAGAGCGCCATTCCTGAGTGCTCAAAGATATGGGTTTCCTTCTTGATGCTCATAGCACTCATCATGCTGTTGCTGTTGCTGCGGATTTCGTCGTATAAGAGCTAACTGCAGTCGTTATCATCATCACCGCATCCATCATCATCATCATCATCATCTTCATCATCATCTTCATCATCTTCATCATCTTCATCACCCTCATCCTACTGCTGTCCTTGCTGCTGCTGCTGCTGTTGTTGTCGTTGTTGTTGTTGTTGCTCTTGTTGCTGCCGCTGTTGCTGTTGTTGCCGTTGCTGTAAGTTTGTCCGTTGGCCGTCAGCTGTCGCCGTCGCTGTTGTTGCTGTTGCTGTTGCTGTTGCTGCTGTTGTTGTTGTGGTTGTCATTGTTGCTGTCGTCTTCGGTGCTGCTGCTCCTGCTGCTCCTGCTGCTGCTGCTGCTGCTGCTTTTGCTGCAGTCCCGTCACTTCCGACACATCATTGCAACGCACGTGGAGAGCCTTTGCTGCATTGTTGTCTTGCTATTGGCATTGCTCCTTTAACGAGCTGCAAGCGTTTTGACTGCCACGGTCTGACAGCAAGTTCTTCACCCAGCTATGAGGCTATGCTGCATTGATCGCAGCGAGCTTTGCCGTATTTCCACGGACTCGTATAATGCTAGTACAGCTGTGGAACTTCGTGTGACATGTGGCGTAATGATTGGAGCCCCTGTTGCTGCTTGTACTTTCTTGTGCAATCATCCACTCAAGTCCGGACCGCGCTGGGGAAGTCTCGACAGCAGTAATGTTCGGCTTCTCAGCGCGGAGCCGAAGCGAATCGCAGTTTCGGCATGTCTGGCGTCTTGCAAAGTTAGAATAACCTCGGCACTGATGACAGCAGCAGTGCATCCATACCCTGTGCCCGGGCAACTCCGGCATGCATGGAGCAAATGTTTCTCAAGGGCCCAGGCCACAATGGGAACAGTTCCAATCCTTGCCGTGTCATGTGACACCATTCTGACAAGAAGTACATACAGGCCACTACTCCTGCTGTAATGCACGTATATGGCACTAGTAACAAGCTTGCGCAGGTCTGTTGATATCTACTGGCAAGGGTCATGATCGAGGTGATGATGATTTTGATGGCCCGATCTTGGTCATAGGCACCGGGTGCAACACAACCATGGCATGCAGCACCACCATCACCATCGTCGCCATCATTACCATTATACTCATCACGGATAACAACATCTTCCGAACTCGGCGAGCTTCGGCTACCCGGCTATCCTGAACTACAGATCAAATGATGTGGCGCGTGTGACCTCGAGTGAAGCATGACACTCTGCCCTTCGACAAGGAGAGACAGTTTTCAAGCACTCCTGCCTCCTTCTTCTCCGCTGGGCTCGTGCTTGGATTATAACCACTCTTCGCCTCCGAAGCATCTCCGGGAAACGGCGGCATGTCTCTCAGCCGATGGCGGCGATAGCCCCGGCCTCCGACACCAGGGCCGCCACCTGCAGATGCAAGGAAGTGAAAGAACTTGCTCAGGCGACACCGAATTCAGGACTACTACGGTCTAGGCGTGCGCCACCGCCACCACCGGCGCCTGTTGCTACTCACAAGCACGACAGACACGCTCTGGGACCAGTACGCTGCAGCCCACTGCTGGGCAAGAAAGCTCGGCAGCCTTTGGTGAACTCGGGGTCTTCGCTGTTCTTCCCTTTAGCATGCCTACTTTAGCCGACGAAAACAGCAAGACGTTTAGCTAGGATTGAACAATAAATCTGTCGCCGGCGTCGCTCTGTAACTTGAGAGCCTGGTACACCAGCTATGGCACAAGCGGCTCATACCTGGGGGGCGTACTACAACAAAGGCCCTGTGCTTAAATAAACCGCACCTGCATAAGAACACAACGCAATGCCTTCAACCCCTTTGCTCCCTCAAGACCTACCAAATGCATTCGGGCTGCCGCAGAGGCGCCTCGGCAGCTGGCAATGCGTGCTGCTCGCCGCCAAAGGCAGGCTTCGCAGCCTGGACTTCTAATGCTGCCGACACTGTGGAACATTGTGGATCGTAGCAGTGCATACAACAACGCGACGGTGACCGCCACGGAAGCATCATTCACATGGACACGCTACTTGCTGTCTTCGTCGCCATCACCATCGGCCCTCTGCTCACAATTGACATTTTCATCGTCGACCAATTCAAAAACTTTGCACAGAACTGCAAAGATCGGTGGTAACGGCAATATACGGCAATGGTCGTCACAACAAGAAGAGCCGCCGTCTTACTCTGCTGTGACCTCGATGGTATCCGTGACTCCTGTTCTCGTGCCGTCGATACCACGGAGGTTTGAAGGAAGCAGCGGCATTAAACACTTTTTTGTTGCTGCATTGACAGCTCTCTGGTCCTTTACGACAGCTGCTGATGCCACGTCACTGCAACTTCAGCAGCCACTCAGAAAAACCACAAGGGTTATTGCCACAAATCGAAAGCCCCACCCTTACGAAGATGTCAGCTGCTCTGTGCATTGGCCCAGCAAAACGAAATCCAAAAGGCTGCAAGCTTGTCATGGCCTGCTTAGCTGACTCTCCTTCCCTTAACCACTCTCGTTTTTTCAGTGCCGTCATTAGTTCTGTGACTCTTGTGCCGCTCACCTGCTACTGAGGGTGACCTCACGGCTCAGGCAGGCGCACTGGTGTCCGCATGGCCAAGCCTAAAGACGGGGATTCCCACAAGCGTTGCCGTAAGCTGGTCCTTTTCTACATCGTCTGCTTGTGACTGGAAGCCCTAGCCCAGTACAAGTACTTGTACATGCAATGCCAAGAATACACAGCGCAACTCAAATCTGCAGTGACTCAGTGAAGAGAACTGCCATTGGGAGCTCCTAGTCCTAGTCCGCAACTAACTGGTTTGTCTCCAGCAAGATCTTCTCCAGTCTTCTGATAAATTGAAAACGACCTCCAAAAGACCACCACATGTGGCTGCCTTCTGCCGACTCCCCACCCTGTGGGCCCCCGCTAGCATCGTGCCCAGGCCGTCGGCAGCCCGAAGTTCATTTGTAGTCTGGCATTCCTCGAAGCAACAATGCAGGTTGCGTTTCTCCAGGGTTCCATCCGTCAGAGGCAGAAGGGGACACCACAGTGGTGGTCTGGGGATCTGTTGCTAACCAGACGTCGTGGCACCAGGACTGGTGATACACCAAGCATATCAAGACATTGTTTCGTCGTCATCATCATCATCAGCATCACCAAGCCAGAGTCATCACACACAGGCTGAGTAACATCATGTGTTCGCACTTACAACCGCAGTACGAGGCAGGGTGATGACATGCGATGACCATCACCAGCGTGAACATGCGCATTGGTGGCAGGTCGCTGGTTGTCCTCGCAGTGACGCGTGGACTCCACTCGCCGCCCACGGAAGCGCAGCTGCACGAGGGCCCGCATTAGCCAGACCTTTGCCCGAGTCGCCGGTCCGTTCTGTTCAACTCTTCTCTGTCACGTCTGGCCCAAGGCCCGGCCTAACACTCTGGGAATCGGGGCTTCGCAGGCTCGAGGCTAAAACGATGGCCAGGGTCACGCATCTGAGGCGACGGCTGCCGATTCCATTCCTGAGGCAAGGGATTTTGAGGAGGGTGCTAGCCCCAAAGTTACGCTTCGCACCAGATTGACGCCGAGCAGCTTAGGGAATCCACGATCTGACGTGCCGCTTCCTCGCCGGCCGGTTTTGAGCTGGAGAGGCCTCACGAGGGATCTTCAGCGTGTCTGGAGCAGCTTGGCGTGGCTGAGCCTTCGGCCTTCATCCCGCACAGAGGGATTTGCGCGCGCGTGAAGTAGAGCCTGAGCATCTCGGCCCAGAAAATGAAGCAGCTGATCGGCATGAAGTTGCATGAGCTGAGGTGGGCACATTGACGAAATGATCACGCTTTCGCCAGGCGGCATAGTAGATGAGGCTGATGCCTCGTGTGGTCCAGAGGCAGTGAACGTGCCACCACCAAGAAAAAGCCAGGACCAGAGCTGCGTTCCCAGCTGATGCACGCGGGAGCCTGGCTGAAGCGGACTGTTTCTTTGCCCGGCCCTCGCATTTGTCTCCTGCCTCGTGGAGGCCGTCTATGTCAAGAGTTGCAAGTTTGCGGATGCCAAACCCAGCAGCATCGCGGGCATCAATGGCCTCGTCGTAAGAACCGGCAAGGGAATAAGGATGAATAAGGCGGGCTCCCCCTTGGCTCCTTCCTCATGTCTCTTCCTTCTGCTAATCAGCTCTTCCCATCAAGTATATACTGTATAGCTCAATTTTAAACAAGTACCTACGAACATACATGTGATGTGTGCCAATTCTTGCATTCCTTCCTTGGCTGCTCGTCCAAATTGATGTGATTGCGTCTTCAAAACTCTCAGCTTGCGACATGGAAGAAGGCTGCTGCTTCCTCTGGGAGAATTGGCCGCCGATCAGCCGTGCCTGCATTCAAGAATGCAACAGTTCATGCCAGGGCGTTGGCCTTTCTCGCCTCTCATTTTGAAAATTTCTTTGTTTCTCTCATCCATAGCCGCAGACTGCGATGGGTCATTGCCCTGAGGTCTAAATGTAACATCACAATTCGCACAAAGCGGAACGATCCACTGAACAGACTCTGCACGTCTCTGTGTACGGCGGCAGGTCCAATGCGACGTGGCGCCGCCGCAAGACTACAGATGATGTCGAAACAACACTAGCATTAATAATCTCGTCTCTACAACTTTGACATTGACATTCGTTTTTGTAGCAGTGCTCCTCAAACCACACAAAGCGAAAGTGTAGACTCCGAAACCTCATGTCTAGCTCTCTGTAGTCCAGCTTTCTGGGCAAAGCCCTCCGAGTGCAGCGTCACGACGCGTTCATCATGGCTCAGTAGTCCTGCTTTGCAAGCTGTCGGAGTCAGGGTGGCTGGACTTTCAACGATCTGGATCAAAATAAGGCGGAATAATCCAAACTGGACTGTGCCCCCGCGCAATTTAAGGTCCTCGTCCCAGTGCTCGTCCCAATTCCTGCTGCCCAGTGCTTTGCCCAATTGCGCAGGATCCTCGTTGCGAAGCGTGCGGACTTGTAGATCTCTCATGTGGATGTCATGTGACTTTGGATCATGATCTAAGTCAGTATGTCTTTGAGTTCTTTGCAGAGACATGTCCCTAATTACGAATGTGGACCTTTGGAAGCGCCCATTTGACACCACAGTCCATCACAAAACATCAAGACACACTAAAATTATCATAGTCTGGGCCAAGGCCTTCAAAAGCGAGGTATGTATATATGTATGTATGTATGTATGTATGCATGTATGTATGCATGCATGTATGTATACATGCATGTATGTATGTATGTATGTATACATACATACATACATACATACATGCATGCATGCATGC